AAAACTGATGTATTTGCAGAAACACTAACCTGCAGAACCCGCTATGGAAGACGAAGCCATCACAGCTTGTTGATCTAATAACCTTCTCCTCTTTAGCAAACACAGTGTTTTCCAAACAATAGGTATTTGGTACAAAAGAAGCAGACATTGCAAGAGCAGGGATTATGATCATATATATATATGGTCTTCCTAATCATTCCCCTATTAGAATTCTTATAGAACTCGAACAAGTAATCCATATTACAAGTGACCCTTAAAAGATAAAGTACAGAGATAAGTCCCTCAACAACAAGGACCTGTACTTATAATCCTACAAGAAAAAGGATTTCACTAAGCTTATCAACAGGACTATTCCATTCAAAAGATTTATACTACTCGGCTCTTTCAATTCATACTCATACTCTTACAGCTCAATCACGAAAGAAATTTATATTTCAACAAGAAGCATACGTTCAATAAATAGAGCTTACAGCGCATTTCCACTGTGCATGTTCATTTTGTGGTATGGAATTGAAATAACTTTGCTTTCTTAATCATTCATATTGTCTGACTGTGTGCTTTCTGCATGATATGCCTCAATACATTCCTCCCTACTGCCCTAGATCTCTACTCTTAGATTGAACCCTTCAATTCAAGCAGTGTTCCTTCATCAGTTTGTCCTTTGTATAAAACTATTACTATTACATCATCCGTGACAACTACCAAGTGACGCAAAGGAAATAAATAGAGGATAGGGTGAAGTTAAGAGTTAGGAGACCAATTAGGGTAAACTCTAGTTAGCATTCCTAACAATATTACATTATGTTTGGATATAGAAATTTAAGATTACTAAAGAATTTTAAAATGACGGAAATTGAAATGACTTGATTTTATTTTCTAGAATTTGTAAATTTTAAGGTCTTATACAGACAGTCAACTGAGAATCTAATTGTCAAGTTACTAATAAGGCCACGGTAATTACTAACTACTTTTTCTTCAAGTAACTTTCCACAGTAATTACGAACAAAAATACATAATATATTGGGGTGGAGAGATAACTTTGGAGATAATATATTACATACGGTGGCAAAAATTACCTCATTGTCACAGATTTATCACATTCGAGGTGCAGCTTTGCAAATGCAAAGAGAACTACAATGGTTTAAGGTGACTATTTTTACATTAAGAACTACCTATTATAATATCGTTCTATGTATCACTTATGTGTTCCATGTTGACAACCGTATTCCATTAAGAATTACCTCATTGTCATAGTCACATCCCTAAAAAAATTCGGCAAAAAATGTAGGAGGTGGAGAGCATTGTAGATCCCAAAGATTGTGAATATGTAAACGAGGATAATAGGACACCACGACAAGTATTTACGGATAATCACAACGACATGGGTAAAGAGGCAGAAAAGTCAATGAAGGAAATAGCAACTTCTTGAACAGTTGTAGGTGCTCTCATTGTCACCATCATGTTTGCTGCTGCAATCACAGTTCCCGGTGGAAATGATGGAGATACGGGTCTTCCTACATTCTTAACTAAAAGGGTATTCACAACATTTATAGTTTCGGATGCAATCTCACTATTTTCTTCCACAACTTCAGTTATCATGTTTTTGGGGATTCTCACGTCACGTTATTCTGAAGATGATTTTCATAAATATTTGCCCACAAAAATGATAATAGGCCTTTTCACCCTCTTTTTATCTATTGCCACCATGATGATTGTCTTTTCTTGTGCCATTTACATTATGCTTAAAGGGAAATCATCGATTGTTATCCTAAGCATTTTGCTTGCCAGTGTTCCAGTTACCTCATTCATATGGATGCAATTTCCGTTTCTTGTTGAGTTAGTCATTTCTACGTTTGGACCAGGATTATTTGATGGGAACAAGAAAAAGTTGTTTTGAATTCCTATGTTATCTTTAGTTGGGTTTGTATTTGAGTTGAGATTATGAATCTCACGTTGTGTTGTTCACGTGTTAGGCTTGAGAATTCGTCACATGTTAAGAAACTTGTGAAGGGAAGTCAATGTATATGGCTTTCTATTTGGCCAATGATGTGTGTGTTTTCTTTTTTTCAATATTATGTTCTTCGATCCTAAAAGAAAATTTCCAACTTCAATTTAAATTTATGAGGTTTCTTTTTTGGTGAGTTTCTATTTTGAGTTATTTACCCTTCTTAATGTTATAGAAGAGATAAATAGAACAGGAATTTTAAGGAGAAAAATGTTATATTTCGTTAACAAGAATACAATGGGAGCATGTTGTTGCTTTTACTGATTGCAACAATATAATGCGTAGCACAATACACACTGGCAACAAACACTTGAGCAAACTCTATATAGGTTCTACTTTGGTCATAGACATCAAATTTTTTAAAATTACATGTAAATCCAACAACGTTTGAACTTTGAGGACATGAGAAACCTTTCCACAATAACGTTAACAACAATGAATATATTAAGCATTATGACACATAGTGTATCAATTCATATTTCAAGTACACTATAAAATCTCTCCACAAGAACCACAACGGGCCAAAATACATGCATTAACCACCATCCATATATAATTGGACCTAGAAAGACAATTAAAATTCCTTGGTAGAACTCTCTACCAACTTCCAATTTCAACGAGTAGGATTCTCTCCCTTCCAATCGCCTCCTATCTGGACAGTTACGATTAAGGCAAATCAATATCTTGTATTGACTTCTTTATAGAGAGAGAACAAAAAAAGGAAAGTGAGAGAGGAGGGGAGGAAATTTGGAGGGAAAAGATATAAGTGAAAGAACACTTGAAAAAAAAAAAAAAAAAAAAAAACATTATTATGTGTTTTGGAAACCCTGAAAAATCTCTTGAGTTATCTTGTGAAAATTTTAAAGGAAACTTTAACGAAAAGCTCCCGGTACTGTTCACTTTAACGAAAAATCACAATTTTATACTAAAAAGTCAATCCTGGTACTATTCACTTTACCCTTTATTTTGTCCTTATCGTTAAAACTCAAAGTTTTCAAACCCTTTTCATTAGTTTTCCTAAATCCCTTTTACAAAAATTTGTCCAACTCTTTTCAAACTTTCGGATTTGAATGAACCTAAATATTTTAGAACTTTTCAACTCGAAATTAGTTTGAATCCCATTTTCTTAGTCAAGTAATATGACAAAAAATAAACTTTTCTCACCCTGCACCATTTTTTTTACATGTGATGAATTGAGATTTAACTATTAACTTTTTTTTTTTTTTTATAATCTCAAAATTCTATATTATAATATTCGCAAAAAGAAAAATTGATACCCCTGAAACGAAAATAAATATCGTAATATACCGAATATATCTGTTAATAATTGTGACTTGAGTGAGCGATAAACGATATGAAAAAAATTTATTTTATAATTTTTAAACCCTACAAAAATTACTATAATAATTATATATATTAATTTACAATTACGATTACCGAAACTAAATTTCAAATGATCCATATCAAATGTATTGCTTTTATAGCATTAGCAAAAAGCTAACATATACATAAAGATATTAACAGTAACAATTCGACAAACAAAAATTAACTATTAATCAAATTAAACTCCAATTAATATTTATACAACCCTATATAATATCAATGAACTCGATATAAAACACTACACCATTGAACCTTGATAGGATACGAAATTCGTACGAACTAAATTTCATGGATCCAACCCATCAAACTTGTTTTTGTATATGCTTTGAGATAGCATTAGCAAAAAAATCGCAAAAAGTAACTAAGACATTCAGGAGATTAGTAACAGTACAAAAAATTTTGACGAGTTAACAACAACAAAAAATCACGAATATTAACGGTTAATTTAACTCCAATTTTTGATATTTATTTACAGCACTATTCCTTAACCCTATATGAATACAATTTCATGACTCGATCTGAAAGTTTAAAATATTACACTAGTCAAACTTACCGTAAAATCTTTTGTTATACTTAATGAAACTTGATGGGATACGTATTATATGAAACTAGTTTTCAACAACAATCCAACCGGTTGAAACATTGTCTTGTATAATACTTCTTCGAGAAAGGAAACGAACCTGAAAACAAGACTGTTTATTGCATATCTTTTGCACATTTAATATTTTCCAATAAACTAGTAGTGGTATGGTTTAGGTTGTTTATTGAAGACTCTTAATTTCAAAGTGTAGATCAAAAACTTTCAAAAGAAAAATTTGTTTTAGATGTTTTGAAGTAATATTTATGTGGCATTTTGTGGCATGTGAAAATTACAAGAAATTTTTTTTTTTTTTTTAAAACCGGGTCGGGTCACTTTTACTTTTTTAAATAACGGGTGTCACGACACGACCTGTTGAAGATAATAGATATTACACGAAAATAACACGAACACGACCGACAATGACTCGTTATAACTATGCAAGTACACTCCTTGAATCAAGGAATTGAATTCAATTGGCGTGTGAACCTTGAAATTTTGTAAACACGTTTTAACTTTTGTCCAAACGAACCTGTAGAAGCAACAAGAAATAAAGAATTGAAAACGACTCGTGTTATCTCCCCTTCCATTTGTGGTATGTGCACGCGCATTCCCGGCCTCACTGTGGTAGTCAAGCTTAAGCCCTTCCCCGAACGACCACCGTTAACTTGACGAATTACCACTACATTATCAACATACGATACACGACGGGACGTTTACTGTGCCTGCGTTCTTTCAAGGCCTGGGGTGTCATTGAGGCACGGCGGACCAAAACCCAATTTCACTAAAACCCTCCACACCCCCAACATCTCTAGAAGAATCCAATGTACCAAGCGTTTTATCTCCCGGGCGTATTTAGCCGACCGACCGCAGACTTTACAGAATTTCACGGGCTGGGTGTAATTGATGGGCGCGTGAACCCAATTTCACATAAACACGTCCAACCGTCCAAACGAACTCTCTAGAAGAACAAGAACCAGAATTGAAAACGACGTCGTTTTATCTCCCCTTCCCTCAATATTTAGAGACGCACGCGCACCCTCCCCCACCGGCTACCGTTGCAAGCTTCCGCCCTTCCCCATTGATTCGCAAACACCGCAGAACCGAAGACACTCATGGCGGAGCATTTGGCTTCGATATTCGGGACGGAGAAGGACCGAGTGAACTGCCCTTTCTACTTCAAAATTGGGGCGTGTAGGCACGGCGACCGCTGCTCCAGACTCCACACCAAGCCCAGCGTCAGCCCCACGATCTTGCTCTCCAACATGTACCAGCGACCCGATATGATCACCCCGGGCGTCGACGCCGAGGGCCAGCCCATCGACCCCCGCCAGATGCAGAGGCACTTTGAGGTTTTCCTCGCCCTTCTTTTTCTTCTTCTTCTTCTTCTTTGTGTCGAAAATTGAGAACCCTTTTGCCGTACTTGCTTTAATTTGATGTTGGTTTATGCTATATGACTCGTGATTCAACAGAAATCGCTTGGATTTTGTGTTGTTTTTATTGGTAGGGTTGTTAGATTTATCATTGAATTATGTGTTGTTTCTGTGGGATTAGGGTTTTTTGTTATGCAGTGAAATGATCCAAATCTCTAGGCCCTTAATGAACCTGCAAGTAACAGAGGATAGAGATAGAGAGGGAAGGAAGAGAGAGCAGAGCTCTTGAATACTGAGAGCTAGTGCGCTCTTATACAAGTTACAACTCATCAAAACCACACTAAAACAGGAATAAGCCTAATAATCCCAAGAATTAAACCCTTAATAGTGATTAAGCTAATCACTACTCACAGATCATATCATGCAGATTCCCCGTTTGTGAAGTTTTCAGAATTGGTGGGATTAAAAAGTGCATCTATAAACTTTTAGGGATTAATTTAAACTTTTAGTTGTTAATTATATGATCTTAGACCGCCGAATGCTTCATACGAAGGCTGTGAAATAGTTGAAACCTTATAAGAGTGTTTGTTTAAGTCCTTTTCATTATGTGTATATCTTGTAAGCGTGTTATGGCATTTCGCAGGAGTTTTATGAGGATTTATTTCTCGAGTTGAGCAAGTATGGCGACATTGAAAGTCTGAATGTCTGCGACAACCTAGCCGACCACATGGTATGTTATATTCAACGGAGAGTTAAGCTCTCGTTCGGTTTTCCTTGTTTATTTTTTTTCTTTCAACAGAAAGATTATTGATATTTGATTCTATTGGGAAATTCATTCATTTGGGCAGGTGGGCAATGTGTGTGTTCAGTTTAGGGAGGAAGAACATGCTGCAAATGCGCTTCGGAACCTGAGTGGAAGATTTTATGCTGGTTAGTTTTTCTCTGCATCCGTCATCTTTAGAATTTGGTCTCAACTCTCAAGGTTTCTACTGGTTATGGTTTATATTGTATGTTAGGCCTACAATTTATTATATGCTGAACTTCTGGCCCTTGGTAAATCACTTGCAGGTCGTCCTATCATTGTTGACTATTCACCGGTGACAGACTTCCGTGAAGCCACCTGCAGGCAATATGAGGAGAACACATGCAACCGTGGTGGATACTGCAATTTTATGCACCTGAAAAGGATTGGCAGGTAAGTTTTCTTGTTATTTTTTTTAATTGCAGAATGTACTGATAAGCTAATATTATTTTTACTTTGTTAAAATGTCAGGGAATTGAGGCGTGAATTATTTGGGAGCTATAAGAGAAGGCATAGCCGCAGTCGAAGCAGGAGTCGCAGCCCTTACGGGCATCGTAGCTATGAAGAGCGCTCTCACCGTAGCCGGGGTCATAGCAGAAGGTATGATGATGAGGATCGCTATCCTGAAAGCTGGAGCCGGAGGAACAAGACTGTAAGCCCTGGTCGAAGGAAAGGACGCAGTAGAAGTAGAAGCCCTGGAAGAAGAAGAAGAAACCAGAGTCCTGTTAGAGAAGGAAGTGAGGAGAGACGGGCAAAAATTGAGCAGTGGAACAGGGAAAGAGAACAGGATGAAAATGCTAGTAAGGTCAATATTGACCGAAGCAACATTAATGGGCATGCACAAATGGAACAACAGAACAATGGCCGTGAGGAACAGCAACAATAGCAACTTCCAGAGAAATGAGGGTATGACTACTGAGATTATACAGCTTTATTCTGGTTTTTGCTCACGCTGTCTATCCTCTTCTCTACACACACACACACACACACACACACACACTCTCTCTCTCTCTCTCTCTCTCACCCCCACACCCACACCCTCGTCAATATATATTATACATGCCCAATCACGAAAGAAATTTATGTTTCAACAAGAAGCATATGTTCAATAAATATAGCTTACAGCACATTTTCCACTGTGCAGGTGGTGTGCAGGTTCATTCTGTGGTATGGAATTGGAATAACTTTGCATTTTTAATCATTCATATTGTGTGACTGTGTGCTCTCTGCATGATATGGCTCAATACATTCCTCCCTACTGCCCTAGATCTCTACTCTTAGATTGAACCATTCACTTCAAACAGTGTTCCTTCATCAGTTTGTCCTTTGTAGAAAATTATTACTATTCCATCATCCGTGACAACTACAAAGTGACGCAAAGGAAAGAAATAGAGGATAGGGAGAAGTCAAGAGTTAGGAAACCAATTAGTGTATACCCTAGATAGCATTCCTAACAATATTAAATTATGTTTGGATGAAGAAATTTAAGATTACCGAAGAAATTTAAAATGATGGAAATTGAAATGACAAGATTTTATTTTCAAGAATTTGTAAATTTTCTTGTTTGGTTAACCTAAAAGAACAATGGAATTGAATACAGAAATTTTTTTTTTTTAACTCTCAATCATAGAAATTGGGAAATTACATATATTTACATGGAATTTAAACTTGGGAATTGAAAGTCCTAAATTTCAAGTTTTTTTACCATGCGGAAATTCTAAATTTCTATGTTTATGAATCTAAACAAGGGAATTGGTGCATATCAATTTATAAATTCTGACTTTTATCGAAATTCTAAGTTCATTTCCTTCATCCAAACATAGTGTTATTCTTCAAATAGGAAATTCTTTAGAGGCTTGATTATTTGAAGCACAAATTATCAAAAGTTTATCACAATAAGTAAATTAGATTTGTGAATCTGTAAAGAAAATAATATAACGTTTAGTTCATAGTAGTATAATATTCTAGCATAGCCATCCCCCTCAGCTAAGAATTTCTGTTTGGGAAGTAGGGCCGGATCGCAGTCACTCTTGCATCTCTGTATGAAATAGGCCCCGTTTATCTTTCTTGTTCAATTAAGACGGAAAAAGGTTTTATTTCGTTCTTATTTATGTTCATGAAAGCATTCCCTAGTCGATGTGTTGCAAACTTGTGAAACTTGTATGCTTGTTTTGTATGCATCACAATTTCAGTCAGGATCTGTGACCACCACAAATCAAGAGTAGTGAATGATGGAATATCATGGTTCAGTCTTGGGTTTTGTTTCCTTCTCCCTTTGTAGCTTAATATCTTTTTCTGTTTCAATTTACGGAAAAAAAAGTCGAGATCTTACATTCTTTACAAGTTTTGCAGGTTCAGGTTTCCCTGCTTCTATGGTTCGTAGCTTTTTCTTTTCATTGCAGCTTACCATGGAATTTGTGTACAGGTTTGATGGTGCAGTGTTTCAGGATTCAGGAGAATGTAGTGGTTATTCGACGTTTCAGGTTTCATTTCGAACGACTGTTGTAGGTTGTTTACTGTTGGTAGTTGTAGTAGTAGTCTAATTATGGTGCAGGTTGAGTCTGACAACCAAAATCTCTCATCTTATGTTGTTGAACGAGTTGGTTGACATATTTGAGATTTCAAGGATTATTATTTGATGTTTTTAGTTGGAATGATCTAGGGACGGAGCCAGAAATCTTTTTTAGTGGGGACAACCGAAAACAACTAAGAAAATCTTATTATAATATGGTTATACACAATATGATATTAAGGATGATTTCAAATGATGATGTATCACAATTCCAATGTTACAAAACTTTGAATATAGTAGTGGAAAGTGGCAAAGTGATGAGAAAAATATAAATACATGATAGGCGGAAGAGGGTTTTTTAGGTTTGAATGACAGAATAAGAGCACTATTGCTCATATAATATTTGATATGGAGTATAAGTAGAATGAATGTACGTTGGATATTAGATACATATATTTTCTTCAAAGATAATCCGTGTATATTATATAATTGTAGTTTGCAGGGCATCTGCCCCCAGTGAGCCTTTGTTGGCTCTGTCCATGGAATGATCATATTAAGTTGTTCGGTTTCTGTTTTTATTTATTTGTTTGTATAATTATTTTGGTGAATTTTAAAGCATTATGTTTTCTTCTTTTATTGGGAAATCTTAATCCCTATCAGCCAAGTTTAACCCTAAATTTTCCAGGCTAAAAAGAGAGACAACAGTTGACGAGCCACGGATATTCACTTATTCTGGACCAAGAATTACTATGGGAATTTCACCTGTTTGAACGTGCTTCAATCATTTGAACACATGAACTAGAAATTGTCAAAGATTTTAGCCGAGCGATATAATAAATAAAAATTGACTCCGACCAATTTTCATTTTTTTTTTCCAGCCATTGGGATTAAGCGGTTAGCATTTTCCTTGGTTAAAATGCTCATGTTTACAAAATTTAAGACTCAGGTAATTGGATTAAAGTGCGATTAAAATCAAATTAGACTTTGAGATTCAAATACTAGAGATTCATGAGGAAAACATAGGTCCAATTCAAGATATTAACTATAAATAACAAGCCGCATATTTCAAAAACCTCCCTCGAGGACAACCGCTACGCCCAAAACATTTAACACATCACCCTCTCTACTCTGAATTATCAAAATAATTAACATATCATAGGCGTCCAACGCTTTGCTTCCGCACGTCCCTCTCATTCTACTTGGCCCCGTGCTTGGCCTTGTTGTGAGACGAAAGAGCGCCATCAGAGTTAAATGACCTGCAAAAAGCAACACAATACATAAATACCACCAGCAAAATACAGTCCAACGCCAATAAACTGTTATAGCCTTCACATACTTGCTGCATGTTTTGCAAGAGTGATCGCCGCCAGCAGAATTAGGTGTTTGTGGAGTCTTTCCGCCCTTCTTTGCAGGGTGTGGTGTTGCAGTGTGGGCACCCTTCTTTCCGTCTGTAACAGATGCAACAACTTTAACGACACAAGTCCATAAAACCAAGCACTGAGTAAAACGAGGGAAATTATCTTGCTTCTTGTTTTCTGAATCGAACTAGAATTTTATATTGCATGTTGTGCAGTTTCCTGAATCGTTATGCATTTACATCACATGTCGTCCATAAAACATGCAAGAAACATTCCCAATATGCCCACTAACGCTAGAAAACAGAAAGAATCATTTGCAGCGTTATTAAACTAAAAATGCTTTTTTGTGTGTGAGAAAAAGGAAAAGTACCAGTCTTCTGTGGAGTAACTTGCTTTGCCTTCTTAGCAGAGACAGGAGTTTTCGGGGCAGATTCATTGGGCCTTTTCTTGGAGTCCTGCATAAATAATCAAATTATGAACAATTAGAACTCACAGAAAAAAATAAAAGTTAAAAAACTGGAAGCGACAAACACACTAACAGGAACCATATGAATTCATTTGATTACCTTCTTAGGCGTTGGGGTGTCCTCTTCTTCCTCACTGTCCTCATCATCTTCATCACTACTATCAGCTCCAAGCATGTCCTACAATACGAAACGCAAATTTTGAAAGTGATTATTAGATACAAGCTAGAAACTGGTAATCTAAAAGCTAAATCCAAAGTTAACATTTGACCCAAGAACCTCCAACAACAAACAAGTTGAAACACAACCCATGAACAAATCTTCAGGACCAAAGAGGAAAAAAATAAAACTCGAACTAATTTTAGACATTGGTTAAAACCAGAACATTTGAAATAAGTTAACTTGTGTGCAAATAGTTCATAATCTGTAGTTTTTTTGGTACAATTCATAACATTATTCAATTCATACTTGTAAAGGAATAGCTATATTCTTATGAAACCCTTTTGGTTACCTCATCAGAACTTTCATCATCATCAGAATCATCTTCATCTGAGTCATCAGAATCATCCTCATCCTTAATTGGCTCTTCAATCTTAACCTTCTGCTTTCCAGAAGATTCTGGTTTGACAGTATTAGTCTTGGGTGGAGCTGGCTTTGCTTCAACAATGTTACCTGTGCACAATCAAAAAACTGGTTAGAATGAACTGAACTTCCCACACATTCCCGCAACAAAATCAAAAAGAGAAGTCCAAGTGCAGCATTTACCATTGCCAGTAAAATTCAGCGGGAGATCCTCTTCTGATTCACTATCAAAATCTACAAGGAAAATTGTAACCACATCAGCTGACATTGAATAATACATTAACGATAAACACAAAACAGAGAAGTAAAATATAATAGAACTTACCAGATTGGTCCTCGTCGGATTCGGTGGCAGCAGAAACAGCAAGTAGTCAAGGAACAAATGGGGAGATCAAATATTGCAACATTCATTAACACTAAGTTACAAAATCAGTATTATAATAGTTCCATGCAATACAAAACCCCAGTTAATGAAAACTTGTTTTCCTCGAATGATAACTAGCATGGAGGAAAAAACATAATAATGAACTCATACAATTTTGATCCCCAAAAGCAATAGAGAGAACTGCTGCATGTTTTGCATGCATTTCTACAAAAGACAACTGAACAAAAACTTCATAAAACTACAGTAAACTAAATTTTGAGAATACAATGTAAAACCAGAAAGTACTATAAGCCAATTAACATGTTCCCAAATTTAAGGTGCTCACCCCACCCAATCCAACGATACTACACCTGCTAATGAAAAGAAATATTCAACAACCCAACTAAAGGTCATCCAAAGAAAGTAACAACCAGCTGAAAAAAAAATAGCAATAGGAAACAACCAACTGAAAACCGCTTTTAACATAAGACTCCACCTTATCATAACAAGATTAACACATTAAGAAAGAAAGTTTAAATATCATGCTCCAACAATCAATTTAGCATAAACACAAACAATTGAAAGGATATTTTGCAATGTAAGTTTGATAACCACAAAAGTGGACACTCCCGCTTTTCAAGTTGTGAGAGAGCTCGAACTCTTTGTCAAAGACCAAGTCAAAGGGAATCTGAGGCATTTTATCAGATGAGAGATTTGCCAAAACAAGCTTCTGGTTCCCAACCTTGACATGGATAACACACTGATCACCTCCCTTCTTTAACTCGCCCAGAGTTGCCTAGCGAACAAGAAACTATTAAGAAACTTGCGAACGCATGCCATGTACAGTGATTCAAAACAAAAATTAGTGGACAAATCAATTAACCTGTGACAAGTGGATAACATAGCTTTCCTCTGGCACCACCTTTAGAGGCTCTCCAGCCTTAACTTCAACACCTAAACCAACGAAAACGGAATCGTTATTCAGACTACAACAATAATTAATAGCATCACATCTGCAAAGACAAAATATCCATATACATTACATTACATAACCACAAAAAGCATATTAATCACCACTGTCCTTTTAAATCCACATTTTCTACAAAAACCCGAGTAGGAAACGATGCAGGATACCATTTTAAGAGACCGTAAACCCGAAACGCTCATGGAAATCATCAAGTCAAATGATTACACCGATTTCTGAACACAAGAATTTTAGCTACCACAACAATCTCAATCGCAGAATCACATTCATAAAAATTATCGGTAACGGAATGCAGAGCAAAAAAAAAAAAAACACAACCAGTAAGTCAAAAATTTTCAAACTATCGAACACAGAAAGGAAGTTTTCTCAGAGCAGACGACCAGAGCACAGATCATAACGGTAGGAAACCCTAGACAATGAATTCATGCGAGACGAAGAATAGAAAGAGATATAGGTAGAGACGAATTACCCCAAAACTCCATTGAACAACTGTGAGAAAGTGAGAGAGAAGGGGGGCTAGGGTTTTTGAGAGAGCACGACTGGAGAGGCGGAAGATGGAGGGTTTAAGGGGCGTTTTATAAGCGCTTTGCTGCCAGGTTTCGTGCTAGGGTTTTTGAAGACTTCTTCACAATCGCAGTGTGGGGTTGGGCCTGGGCTTTAGTTTAAAGCGGGGCCGAAGCCCATATCAGAACTAATGATTTCAAAAGAAAACTTCCCGTTGGATGTATTTCTATGTTGAATAAATAAACCTAATCAAGGTTATAATCAAATTAAATATAATTACCGACTTGCCAGATTTTAAAATATGTTATGTGCCTCTGATAGGATATTAATCCGAATTATAATACAAAAGAGATAGATTTTCAAACGAGAAATTTTATATGAATCCAAACTGAATTATATTAATCCAGTTACCATTTTAACATAATGGAAAATTATAAATCTTAATATCTTAAACACCCTTTCGGATAAGAATATCCTCTTCCTTCCTTAGTAGTAATCAAAGCAAACTTGAAGAAGATAACCGTAAGACCAATTTATTATGTTCATAATCTTCAGTTTATAATATTCATCCAAAGCCGTATAATCAAAGTTTTAATTATTGGATTTAGAAGATATTATGAGTGGAGGTAGACGACATGGATTTGCTCTTCGAGGGTATGGTTTTGTTAACTTACCCCTAATATCCAATAAATAATCCCCAATTGGAGGATTTGGGGAAACATCATCACCCTCGTTTTTATTTGATTGTGTCACACGTATGTATGGATACTCGACCCTTGATGTTGTGTTAATAGTTTCCAAAATTTAAAATTACTTGAAGGATATAACAGTCGTGGACGACCTTGAGGAGATATTTTGCGCTCACTTGGGTTCGTTTTGCAAGAAATTATAGATGGTACAGTGGTGTGCTAGGTTTTGGCTTAGTCGCTCTTTTTTATTGGGAATTGTTATTGACATTCCAAAAATCTCATTCTATACTCCAAATTTTCTATATTTGGAAAGAAAAATACATTTATGAGGAGTTGTTGACCCTAAAAACTACCAAGCCTACGTGGCGCGCAGGCTGAGTAATCTATAAGCTAACTACGTCCTTCGGTGAATGCGGGGCGTGCCAACTAGTCGGCCGAGCTCGGCTGAGGAGTAAATTTATTGATGTTGCGTTGGGTGCGCGGCTGACTTCTGTGTCTTGGGATTGCGACCGAGGAAGGAACACGTCTCGGCCTTTTGGGTTCTCGAACCTGAATACAAGGCTACTATTCTTACGAAGTTCACGAATCGCCGTCGTCGGGTTCGGCCACAGTGATGTATTCGTCAGAGTAAA